ATATTTAACCCAGCATTTTTTAGAGTGTATATATATATATATATATATATTAATTTCGAGATGAATCCAATTTTAGCACATGAAGGGCTTTTAAATTAAGAAGTAGGCCTTTCTGAGGACGGTTGTGGTTAAAGTACAGTGTTGGAATGATGTTAAAGCCTTACATTGCTATAAAACCGACTGGAGTATCGTGACCAGAAGTTTGGTGAGTTCACCGGACCGTAACATACAACGTTTGTATAATGGACCTTTGACTCGGAACTAATGAAGAAATGAGACGGAAACAACTGATGACAGAAGTTAAAGACTGTGTCAACAAACAGAAGCTGTAGGCCTATGTAGAATTTATGACTTTAATTAGTCGGAAATTACAAGCTCGGTGAAAAATAATGCTTGACAGAGGTCTTTCCTGAAATTGAATATTAGTAGGCCTATATATATTTTTTTTTTTTACCAAGCATTTTATGTAGGCTAAATTTTATTAGCTATTTATAATAATTATTGTTATTATTATTTTTATTTATTTTATATTAGCCTGTAAAAATAATTTTGAGGCCTTCATTACGGTTTTGTGAGTTTTGGTTTGTGTGTGTGTGCGCGTGTCAGCGCTCTACCGTTATTTTGGCAGATTGTTCTTTTAATTAACTCTCATTTGCCCGCATCTGCCACGTGTATAGATTTAAATTAATTTTTAAGATTCAGCTTAGTTCACTCAAGGAAAAATAATACACTAGAGGTCAGTGGAGTTTGTTTATTGAGCGAAATGAATTTGCAGTTGGTCATTTGACAAGAGACCGCATTTGGTTCATATTTTGACCGATCTAGGAGACGGGAGAAAAACTGTTATTGAGTGCAAGTAGTTAAAATCCTCTCGTACGTTTTTGATCAACAGTTTCTGTGTTTACAGTCTTTCACTGAACATTTATAGTTTGGAAGCTAAAAGGACCGAACAGTCCAACCTGAGGCCTCATCGTGGATTTATTTATTTATTTATTTTTGTGAGGTAAATGTCTAACGATATTGTCTTTCACAGCTAAATTTTCATGGCATAAACTGAGTGAGATTTACGCTATGTTTCTGTTCACCCTGTTAAACACCTAATAAAATTAACCAAATAATTTGTTTTTCCCAACAGAGAGAAAATTAATTTAGTGCACTTCATTAACTAAGCCAAACACCACGCGCTGAAACTGACGCTGCGGCCCTCCCCCTCCAAATCTATTAGCATATAAAACACTGCCTGTGTGTGTGTGGTAAATGTAGGTCACATCGATGAGGACTGCGCATACTTTGTAATTATAATTATCTCGTAAACACCTTATTCCATGTTTTACAGTCTAGAGAGCCGTTACTTAACGGACGCCGACACCATATTGAGCTTCACTCACACATCCTCATCTAGATTAACTTCATTTGGCCACTTGTCAAATAGGCCACTACACAATGCAAGACAAACATTATTTTGAATTTAAGTTCAATTAAAACGTTTTTATTTTCTCTATCACTATCCTATATTTTTAGATTCACTCTATTAGCAGTTATGGTTTTAGATGTTCGATCACTGGTGCCAAACTTTATATAAAAAAAATAAAATTAAAAAAAAGCAATGCTCTGGCAAACTTTTTGGGCTCGTTAGTTGTTGTTTTTTTTTTTAAGAAAGTCTTTTTTTTTTTTTATCAGCAAGGCTTATAAACAAATGTGGTTAAATGTGACGTTTGAACGATCATTTTCTGATAATACCTTCCTAACTAGCTGAACTGTTCATAAATTAGCCATCTTAAAATTGCAAAATGACTAACTCTTAAGTTGGATAAATTCACCATGTTTACACAGAAATATTGAAATCGGTTATTTCTACTAGTGTTTTCGTCTTTTAAACTTTATTGGTAATTGTAACTTTTGTTAGAAATGCTTGAGTGTCGGGCAAAACATTTCGATCTTGCATGTTGATATGGTTGCAAATTAATTCAGGTTTTAAGAGTCACCAGCATATTTGTCTTAGCTTATGATTGTTGCTGCTCCAAATGACAGTTCTTATGATCTGGTGGCAGCCAGCTGCCAGTCACAGTTTGCGACGCTTTTAATCCAATGTTAAATCAATTACAGTCAACTCTGGGCCAAACTGGGATGGACACCTCCTCTAAAGTTTCATTTTGCATCTGTTATTTTTATTTCTAATTTTCCATGGATTGGTGGCGGATTTACGTGGTGGAACCATCCCGAGGAGCATCCAGACCGAACAGATGGACTCGAGCCCTGACCGGTATAGCGTGCATATGTGCATCCGCTGCTTTGCGCGTTAAACCCTATTAAGACCGTCTACCGTGCAACTGGTGCTTCGCTCAATCCCGCGAGCTCTCGCAGACTACACAAGCGAAAGCTTCTAATCCCTCACGTGAGAGGACGGGTTCTCTCGCGCTCACATCGTGTAATTTACAGTCTGCCTGGAGGCCTAAGATATATATCTGAAACCAGACCGTGTTATTTCGTAAGAGCCTCCTGCTGGGCGATTCATTTCCACAGTCACCTCGAGACCTTTAAAGTGCATTTATAGCACAACAACCAGCTCCGTTTTGTATTCTATTATTCTGTTTTTGGTATTCAACATTGAGTTTACAAACCATTTGTTGGCTATATTTGGCTAGCCTATATTCGCTATGGTTTTATTAGCCTATCTGATTAGCCTACATGTTAATCTGAATTCATCCTTGTGTTATTGGGTCTTCAAGGATCATATCTTTCATTTCCTTTCCTTTCTGTTTCGTTTGCCAGAGAAACGGAGAGAGAAAGAGCCAATGATGTAGGCCTGCTAGCTCAATAATATGTCTACTTAAAATAACATCAGCCGTTTTAGCTCGCCCATTAAATGAAAATAAACGAGGCTTCCCTTCTCCCACGTTGTTTTGCGAGTAAAACATTTATGAAGCGGAATACGTCAGTATATGTGTATGTTTGTGAGAGGATCCTCCCTTTGAGCGAGACACCGGGCGCTCGAGGCGTCTCCGTCCGCCCTTCTCATGCAGGAGGGCGTGAGCCCGCGGTAATGGCGGTAATTTGGGTTAAATAAGGAGAGCATCAGCTTTTTAAACACTTAAAAACTGCTAAAGCTCTCGTAGACACAAAAACCCAAAGACTCGAGTATTTTGCTGCTGGGGAGGGAGGAGACGTAGAACGAGGCGAATGAATGGGGCTGACTTAAACACACATTTGCACATGAGCAAAAAGTCTTACTCATAAATTGTTAAGCGTCATTGGAGGTTTCATTTTCATGGGAACAATATATATAGATATTAATATTTAAGAAATGTATATGGGTAAAACGGGTGTCCGTGTCTTTTCAATGCACCTGTGTGGCTCCTAATTTGACCGACAGGCTGATTTGAACGATGACCCCCCCACACGCGCCCCCCACTTATCATCCTAAACGTGCACAAAACACTTCCAGCATGGGTCAGACCGTCACTGTCCCGGTTCGGTTAGCGGTGAACAGAACAGGGAAAAAAAATGTTGACTGGATTGGCTGCAGAAGAATTAAACGGAATCAAAAGTGACCGCACAGCACCGATTATTACAGTATCTAAAATAGGCTAAATGAATTAAAAAATAATGTGGTCTAATTATTGTATAGGTACAACCGATGATACAGTGGTATAAATAGGCTATTTGTATTCCATAGCATTAAAACAGTGTTTAAATAATTCGTAGATTTAATATTCTTCTGCTGTTTAATGTTTTTGTGCAACATTATTTCCAAACGAGTTGTTCGATTATCATTTTTAAAAAGCATTGTGTTATGATAAATAAGAACACATAAAAGGGAAATATTCGTTCGGCCATATCTGCAATTAATTTTTGCTTTCATGCAAGTGTCTTTCATTCAGTTAAACAGAAATTAAAATATTTGATAAAAACAGATTAAGGCCATACTATGAAATAACAAAACAAAACGTTTAATGTGCAATCCAAATTACAGTGACATAATACACCCAGTAAAACTTACGTGTTGCTGAAAAAAATCCAAAAAGCAGGTAAATGGTAAAGCCGCGAGGAAAACAGACAAATAAAACTGGCCCTGCTAAAGAAAGCACAAACGACCTTAAAGAAATGTCCACAAAAATCATCAAAAATGTTGAAAGCGCACTTGGTTCCTTATTAGGCGAAGATACAATATTTATTCCGTGTCTCCAGGGATGAGGCTGCTCTCTCTATTGTCCTCCCTTTCCTCAATGCTGATGCTTAATTTTCAAAACTTCTATATTACCAAGGGACCTACGACATCAGCCGGAGAAATACCCAGCAAGTACAAAATCCGAGCCAGGGAGCGCTTTGTGCAGAGGGGAGGCATTTCAGCCGCTTTTACCGACTGCGCGAGGCGACATTTCATTTTCACGCGCTATTTTGGGGATTTTTTTTTTTATTCATTCGTCCAACGGCGCGAGGAAATCGGGTTATTGGATCGCGAGAATGTCAGCCACATTTCCGGGACTGGTGCACGATGCGGAGGTATTTAAATTCATTTCTTATCACCTCACAAAAATCATCTAATTTAGTTTAATTTAGCGGAGCATCGCATGAAGTGAAATTAGTTTCACATAGCACAGCGAAATGTAAGTGAAGACTTCTGAGGGGAGTTTGCTGCAAGGCGAGGATAAATACCGTGTGTTATTTTATAGTGAAAATGCCTTTTACTGTTTGTTTTTTTCGTGGCGAATATGGCTCTCTAGAGTTCATTTAAAAGTCTCTACTGTGATTGGAACCATTTGCTCGTTCTTTTTTATGCATAATAATTATTAGTAGTGCAGACTCTCGTGCCTTGTGCTTACCTGCAGTGAAACGGGCGTAGAAGCGGCTTTTAATGGCGTTTGCACGGATGTAGTAGCCTAATAATAATATAGTCAAATAACACTCAGTGGCAAATGATAGACAAGTGAGGGAGGAAAAAAACGCTGTGAGCTCGTGGAGCAGTTTGCAGTGTGTTTCACGCACTCCCTCCCAGGCACGGAGAGATGACATCGCCGTCAGGTACTTTTCTAAAGACACTTTGAGCTGCTGTGTGTTTGTGTGTTTGGGGAAGGTTTGAGTTTCCGCCGCGTGAGAAATGCGCGCGGATCGCTGCGAGCGCGTGTAAATGACATCCCTCATAGTTTTCTCTTTTTTCCCCCGCACAGATACGTCACGACGGATCAAACAGCTACCGTTTGATGCAACTCGGATGCTTGGAATCTGTGGCCAACTCGTCTGTCGCTTACTCTTCATCGTCTCCGCTTACATATCCAGCTACCGGAACCGAATTTGCCTCCCCGTATTTTCCCACGAACCAGTACACGCCCTTACACCACCAGTCCTTCCACTACGAGTTCCAGCACAGCCACCCGGCCGTGAACCCGGACGCGTACTCGTTAAACTCTCTCCATCACTCGCAGCAGTATTACCAGCAGCTCCATCACGGCGAACCGGCGGACTTCATCAACCTTCACAACGCCCGGGCGCTCAAGTCCTCTTGCCTGGACGAGCAGCGGCGGGAACTGGGCTGCCTGGACGCGTACCGTAGGCATGACCTGTCAATCATGAGCCACGGCTCTCAGTATGGCATGCACCCCGAGCAAAGACTGCTGCCCGGGGCGGGTCTGGGGCTGCCGCCAACGGGGGCCGATGACCTACAGGTAGCCTACACCTCACCGGCATTTCTACCGTTCAAGCACAAAATACACACACTCAGCGTGTCACCACCGTCTCACACGCAGGCTGCAGAGAAGTTGACGCCTTAAGGGATGTTGTATAGTCACTTTCAGTGTCCGAACCGAAGAAATGATTGCCCGAGGGCTTCGACAAAAAACCTGAGACATCAGGAGAGACTTAAGAGAGAAAACTCGAGGCCGAGCGATTAGCCTACTTCTTTTCGGCCTTTTCGATTTCGCACAAATTAATTTAATAACGAATAATAGGCCTACATTAATATTTCGAAATAGCTAATTAAAATAAACTGATAAACACGGAAAAAATCACAGCGGAAAAAAACAGTCCGATTTGCATAAATGCATTATTTCCCAACATGTGAAATAAGACTTTTTTTTTTTAAAGCTATATTTTGAAACGTTTGGAAGCGCCATCCTTTCAGTTGATTTAACTGGCGGATTTTACATATTTAATATAGTGAATATTGAGAAGTCTGAATTCGGCTGCGCGTATGTCGGGCCTCGCTGCTGTAAAGCCGCTGTTTCTTTTTCCTCCGTTAAAAGGCGGATTAAGGGCTTGAAAAAGTGCGAACAAAAGGCAAATCCTCCGCAGTAGAGCACCGTAGTTTATCCAATTTAGGACTTAATGTCAATCAACTGGTTATTTATGCACAGACATCTGAAACGGCTCAAGTTTAACCGGTGAGTCAACAATATGTTAAAATCAAAAAGATTATACAATGCTTTTAATCCGTCAGTGCGACAGTAAAGTTGAAAAGATAAAATATATTGTTTTTGAAATAAAATATTCTAGCTAGCAGATTATATTTTGGATTTTTACGTCATTGCATAGAAAGGAAATTCTCATTTTAATAGTAAATTGAGTATTTAAATTATAACATCTACGTAATCTAATTTATAGAAATAATAGAATAAAACGATTCTACAAAAGATTAGATCATAGTGGAATACGGTAATGTTAAGTAAATGTACAAATAATTTTTTATTGTTTTGACTAGTAATTAAAAAAATAATTGTTGCATAATTACTTTTTTATTTGCTCATCGTGTTTTACAGGGCATAGGCTATATTTAAATAACATGGACAAAATAAAATCAGCAATATAATAATTATTTTATTTTGCAATAACATTTTGTCAGAAAATATTCATAAAGCTATGTTAGCACAGAAGTAGTTTTGCAATCTTGAAAATGTTTTGAATCGTAGCTTCACAAAAGATTCATTTTAGTATTGCTCTCGCGTGTTCAGGAACATTCTGCACACGCACACAAAAAAAAGGCCCACAGGAGAACAGACACAAAAACACAGAAAACAACACATACGTCGCGTGAAAAGGTTTTGGACCTTTCTTTGGTGCTGAATGAAACCGTGCGCTCGGTGAAGGCCGCGGAACAGATGCGGTCAGTCTCGTGCGCACAAGCGCATCTTTGAGCCGCTAAACAGATTTGGCACGCGGAACAATAGAAGCTGCCGCACCTTTAACACGCACACGCGTAATTTATGCCTGATCCGACGGGTTTGTATATTGATTTTATAATCACTTTAACTGCGGGGAAAAGAAAAATAGAGCATGAGTTTGTTAAAGGGTTATAAGAGCACGTCAGTATGGTGTCAGTATGTGAGCGTGTGTGGGTGAAATAGGCTAGGCCTATGTGTGCTTTTTTTTTTTTTTGAGACTGTGTCTGACTTGGCCTCCAGACTGGTC